GGCGACCGGGTCCCAATGACCTGGTCTTGCCATCTGGGCCTTTCCACTGCCAGTTGAGCTCCAGGGAATGGGGGGCAAAGCCCGAGGCCTCGCAGTGAACTGTCAAAATCTGCCCGGGAGCGGTGACGGGCAACGAGGATGGGTGGATGGACAGGGAGGGAGGTTCTAGGAGGGTGGAAGTGGAGTTGTAAACCGTGCGCGTTGCCGTTCTCTGTTTCCATTCGTGTCTTGGATGTGTGCCTTGCGTGGCCAAGTAAGTGACATCATAAGCCGGTTGGTTTGCGTGTTGAGTCGTGGCTGACAGTAAACTACAATTGTCAAACTACTGTTTACAACGCGCCCTGCAAGCTGACGGATGATATTCATTGACAAAAATGAAAATGAAGGACATTTGCGCGACGTACGAATGTTAATGATAGCTCACCTGCGATCTCCAGCTGAATGGTAACCTGCGCCAGAAGGTGCGGCAGGTACACCATGCAGATGTACATTCCGGAGTGGTGTACTTGGGCTTCCTGCAGCACCAGGGACGCGTTGCCCTTCCGGTGCAGCCCCTCAAAGTCCAGCATGGTGCCTTCCTCCGGCGATTGAGACACCCGGTCCGATTTTCCGTCGTAAGCCAGAAGCAGTCGGCCGTCGCCTCGGTACTGGTAGCGCCACTCCACGGCAAAGCCGGAGCCGCAGAGGGGCGAAGCGGTGTTAGTCCAGAACTGGCAGTCCAGCAGCACCGGCTCCCCAAGTCTGGACTGCACCACCAGTGTGCTGGAGGTCACGGTGAGAACCACTAAGGAGGGAAACAGAAAAGGACGCACGTGAGAACTTCTCCGAGCCGAGCGACGCAAAACCGCGGTCTTTACCGTCCAGCTCGTTGGTTCCGGTGGCCGCGCGCATGATGCTGGACGTGCCATGCCGTCCCTCCAAGTCCTGAACAGCCGCAGAAAACCAATCGGCTTGTAGGTATAAAGGGCTGAGCCCATCTGCCAGAGAAGCGGCCCATGTGAGAGTGGAGAACTGCGGCTGGAAGCGGCTGAGCTCACAGTGGGGCTTGCGGGCGGCGCCTTTGCGTGAGCGGTGGCACAGAGTCGCCGCCGGATCTGACCAAAAGCAGCGATTCAGTCAAAGACAGCCTCACTACACCTGCCAAAGTTGAATGGAGGTCAGTACTTCCTGGTTGCGGAAGACATTTCACCTCAAACCCAAAGGTTTTCTTCAGTTCGAAATTGGGCATCTGGAGTCTCGTTAGTTACAACTTTGGTGGGCGTTTCCCTCGGTGGGGGTCGCATGAGGTACTTACTTCACATCTTAAATTTACAACTGAAGAAGAACCCTTTTGAATTCAACTCAGCTCACCAGTGCCGGTGAATCGAAGCCAGTAGTGACCTCCAGTCAACTTTTGTTTACAGTCCCATGATGTCCTACACGTGGAGGCTAAATAGCTGCTTATCCTTTCATTCAAGTCAGAATACAAAACAATGGTCCCTCAAGTATCCCGATACAAAGTCACATCAGCTTGACATAAAAAGAACAGGCTTGGCTAAGTTCTGGGGTTAATTTGCCGCATCCGGCAGACACTGTCGTGAATCCGCGTGGGCTCCAAGGAAATCGGTTCAGGTCATGAAGAAATTACAGAGGCAAATGTGCTGCCCTCTATCAGAGCGACTGATCTCACTAATGTCCCGGGGCTTGCTTTGCTGCATCACTGTGTCTTGACTCCATGCACACTACAAGAAAATATGACTTTGGAGTCCTTCTGGGGCCGATCATATTTTCCAATCTCAAAAAGCTTGGTCCGGTATGTTCTGAGGCTGCTTTGCTCCATCTGACACAGGGTGGCTTGAATTGGTGCATCCTACAATGAAGCTTTTCAAGCTACTGTATACTCCAGCCAAACCTGCAGCCTACTGTGACCAAGACCGGGTTTCGGAATAGAGCGTCCAAAGCTCAGAGTGCTTTCCTCCAATTCAAGGTGTTTTCATGAAAGGGTAGCAGCAATTTTGCCAATGCATGTAAAACGACAAGGATTCTGATTGCACACGCCAACAGACCGGCAACAGAATAGACTCTCAGGAAGCTGGGGTCGGCCAAATCTTCAAGGCTGGGTGCATGGTGGCCTTCTGCACTGATGTGAAGCAGGGACTTCTCCTGGCTTGGGGGCGCCGTCAGACCTCCTCGAGCCACTTTCTCATTCAAATACCAGCACTCCAGCCCAGGACAGGAGTGGCTGCCAAAGGCTGTGGAAAGGCCACAATCAGATAACAAATAATGCGTTTTAGGCATCATCGAGTATTTATGTTGCTTCCTTGAGCAGAGCAACAGTTGAAAAGAAGGCAGTATATTTAACATGAACTGAATAAGTCAATTCAAGTTGTGCAGTTGTACCCTGTCAAGATGAAATCAAGATAAGATAAGATAAGATAAGTAACCTTTATTTGTCCCACAATGGGGAAATTTTCAGTCTACAGCAGCAAAATTGGGGGGGGGGTAGAAAAGAAAAAAAACAAAGTATTGCATGCACAAAATAAATAAATGTTTCAGAAAAAGAACTGTACGCAGTATAGAATGCAATATAAATATAAGATATAGATACAAGCACATATGCAACTGCATATATGAAGCATAAGGTGGCTGTGCTATTTACAATGGTTACAGACTTTCTAAAATATATTTTTAAATACTCTACTTTAAAAAGTTTCAGCTGGTCTCATTGTTGTTGAATTCTGAGATACGTACATCCAGCAAAAGTCAGTTGCAATCACGAAATTTAGCCACAAGGGGCGTGCGCACAAAATTCGGTTCATAACGTGTGGAAAAGGAAGTTGTAGTCGTCATAACGTTGCATATGCGTGTATATGGTAATTAATAAAACCACAGCCTAGGATGAAAAGCTCTTGAGCATCGTTCGGTATATTTGGGTGGAATTTTTTTTTCCGGGAAAGTACATTTTAAACGTTTTTTTAAAATGTCTGTCGAGGGTAGTGTCGCATACCGTGGACGAAGGAGCTGAGCAGAAAGACAGTCGACATGGTCCAGAAGTTCGTCGTAGTTGTTCCTCTCATCCTTGCTTCGTCTTGTTCTAGCTTTCGTCTTCTTTTTGTTATTTTTTTTCGGCAAAAAGGAGACGAGCAACAGTCAGACGTCTGTCTTTAGCCAGTCTCTCCCACCCGACAAATACTTTCGCTTTCACTCTTCGCCGCAAGTTCGCAGAAGAGCGTCAACTTTCCATTTACGGCAAGGGTGCAAAATAGAAAAGAAAACACCAGCAAAGTGAACAGAAGTTACTGAATGAGATTACCTCATTTTTCACCCATTTTAAAACAGTTCACTAGTGTGTGTAACTAATCTTTGGCATGCTTTCCTAAAACTACGCCATGGACTACAAGACTACAAGACTGATGGACATACACAGCTACAAAATAATTCTCGCCCATGGTGAAACTGGCACGTTTTAGGGGTGACTCTGTCTCATGCAGCTAGCTGGTTGGTGCTTTGCAGTACGACGATAATTCGTTCCTTCAATTCAAATCATAGTGCAACTCCTTCTGGTGTGCCACACTGACCACCGAGGGGCAGTATAGTACAGTCATACAGACAAATGGAAGAGACACCTCTTTTCCTTGTCATTCAATAAGAGGCAATATTTTAATTTTTTTTAGCCCGCTCAGGATGAAGAATATATGGCTACAAGCATTGTGATATTGCCTGTCTATATGCGGTGCTCCACTGTTTGTGCTAAAAAAATGGGGTCAGTGAAAATGGTTCTCACACTGCAACTATCAATCCGAAGCCTGACTGCGTCAATAGTGGCTGGTGGCCCAAAAGTGAAGACCAGTGTCAATCAAATACAGTACGAGTAAATTCATAGTTTTGTGTGGGGAAACATCCTTAATATAAAAGTAGAGCTTTGCAAAGGATAAAGAAAGTATGCCGGTGAGAATCGTGACATGATCTACCTGTGTTGCCCCAACACAGATGCTATTTATTAGCCTGTCTGTGGCAAATTACATTGTTTGTGAGCATGAGGCTAAAATGACTGTCATAAGGCATACCTTCTTTTTTGAAAAAAAATGCTCACTATCTGAAAAAATATTTTGCTTGTGAGGCAAGTTGAGTTCATTGCTACTGTACAGCACACTTTTATGCAAAAGAACACACACACATACATATACATATACAGGTACAGTATATCCAACGTTGAGTCACTCTTCTCTTAAGGCGATGCTCCACTTTTCCACATGCAATATGTCGGCGACGTTGACGTACGTGTAGCAATTGGAACTGTGTCATGGAAATCGGACGTTTTGAACCACGCAGCAGGGTCACCTGATTTCAGAGAAATCATGCTCTGTCTTGTTTTGATTGTGTTTGAGCTCCGGCCGCAGCGAAGGGCGTCGCCCTCCGGCAGGCGCACCCGCTCCGCCGGTTCCCCATCGAGCCTCGCCAAGCTTTGTAGCGCGGCCAAGTCTCTGTCGGATGATTGACTTTGCTCGCTGTTGCATTCTTGACCTTTCGCTCTCGTTTTGCCGTTGAACTTTGGAAGTATTTTCATGATTGTTTTTTTATTGATTCTGATGTTATATTTGGCGTTATTGGACTTCTTCTCATTGTTCCCTTGTACTTTGCCTTTGCAAGCGCTTTTTGTTTTATGAAAATATATATTTTTTTTATTTGTTTGTTTGTTTGTTTTTCCTGGCTCCTTGTGGCCAGCGATTTCAGCCTGTACATTTCTGCAATAAATATTTTTGTTTTCGCACTTTGTCTGAGCCTGCATTTCTGGAATCCAAAACATGATTCGGTTCGGTTCTGAACAACTCGACAGAAATCCTTGGTCAACATGACACGGAGACACGTTTGTGACTTGCGCAAATGGCAATCAACTTTCTTCTACTCGAGAGCGACTCCATCCGTCGAAACATTTTTCTTTCGATTTGTGAGTTATTCTTCCACGCCCTCCCGCTAACTTGTTTCGCAATGACTGAACAATCCACCCGCCAGCGATACTTTCACTTTCACCTTTGAAGGCGGCGCTCTGCTGGCGCTCTGCTGGCACTCGACGTCGGACTCGTCCCGCAGTCTCGTCTGGAGGAGGACGCGGCGAGGTTCGGAGAGCATGTCGGCCACGCGATCCGAGGAGGTGCAAACCGGGGTGAGTCCATCCGTGCGCTCACCTCGGCGAGAGGGAAGAGCCGCGGAATTTCCTGCCGCGAGGTGATGCGAGCGCCTCCGCCTGCGAGCGTGCGAGCAGGAGCTGCCGCTGACGGCAGCTCCGACGTGAGCGCGCTCCCCGTCTTGACAGTTTGCTTGTGGCTGATCGTGGCTCCCCTTTCCCCACGCACGAGGCCATTCCCAAAAGTACCCGGTAGAAGTCCATCACTTTTCAACTTCTAAGGCCGCGAACAATGAACACTCGACAGTTTCATTTGGCTGTCGAATTTCGCATGGAGGGGTAGACACTCCCGACAACGCGTATTTGTGTGCAAGACCATTGCGAGGAATATCTGACACAATATGTTGCTCTTTTCTTTTCTTTTTTTGCTTCGCAGACGACAATCGTCGCCATCGAGTTCGACGGCGGGGTCGTGCTGGGCTCGGATTCGCGCGTCACCGCCAGGTGCCTGCCCACTGCCTCCGCGGCAACACACGCATGCTCACGCGCACGCATTCAAACTTTCCGGGGTCATTTCAATCCCCCTGCCCACCCCCCCAAAAAAACAAGCAGTAAGTTATTGAACTGCGGCTGAAAGACCGTATCAAGTGAATTCAAAGACTTGGCGTCATTGTTGAAATTCCAGAAGCCTTCAAGCTACTATTGGCCAAACCGCCGCAAAGTGACTCGAATTGAGTGTAGCTGCCACCATACAGTGCCTGTCTCTCAAATGTTGCGCCGCCGGCGAGTCAAGGCAAAGCATCGTCCAAACGACATCCGATTTCTGGAAGAACCTGGAAATGGGGTCGCTGCTCTCTCGCTCTCTCTCTCGATCAGGCAACAGCGTACGCGCCGTCCTGCATCGTGACCGTGTCGCCCATCCATGCAGAGATTCCGTGGTGAACCGTGTGATGAACAAGCTGGTAGCCCTCCACCCAAAGATCTACTGCGCTCTGTCCGGCTCTGCGGCGGACGCTCAGGCGCTTGCCGAGCTCACCAGCTATCAGCTGCAGCTTCACAGGTGCGCGGCGTACAACAACCTCGCGTTGTGAAGCTTGAACCTCTTTCCATTTCCAATCGGAAATGCAAATACCAAGAAGGGATTCTGTTCTGAGGTTGGGTCCAACCCAAAGTATTTTGGGAAAAAAGTTCCATTTTCAGGCTCAGAGTCAAGTTACGAAAGCCAATGGACGTGAGGACCAGCCCAACATGTGTTGAACGTCCATTTCAAATGTTTTTCGCCCCGCGTCTGGCCGCACTCGGACGATAACTTCTGAACTTTTGCTTTCGGCAGCTTGGAGATCGAAGAGGAGCCGCGGGTGGGCGCCGCCGCTACCCTGGCCAAGAACACGTCGTACCGCTATCGGGACGAGCTGTCCGTAAATCTCATCGTGGCCGGCTGGGACAGAAGAGGCGGCGGGCAGGTCAGCGCCTTTTTCTTTTTGGTTTGGGGCAATAGCATCGCAGGCCGTGTTTTACATCTGGACATCTATTGATATATGAAATATAAAAAAAAAAGAAAAAGGATGCCCCTTGATCACACAGCGCTAGACGACAATCAATTCAGAGAGATCAAAAAGAGGCCTTTACAAGAGAAGGACACACACGGACATGCACACGCATTTCGGGCAAGTCACGACAAACTCCATCAAGAGAAGTATTAACTTTGCCAGCTCGCCAAACATTAACTCACCTTTGGATCGGTTGTGCATTTCATCGAAAGACAATAAAGTCATTGACTTTGATGATAGGCTGGTACACACCCATAAAAAAAAAAAAAAAAAAAATGGCACAGTGGTTGCTACGAGAATCGGTATTCAAGTGGCAAGTGGGGGTGGGGTTCTCCCTCTACACCCCCTCGCCATTGACCGGTAGCTCGCGGACTGGTCCCGAGTCGATCGCGTATTGGGCATACCTGTCCTCAAGTCTAGAGAGGAGGGACCAAATTGTGGCTCGTGAGTACAAAATAGTGACTGCAAGTGTCACGGCCATGTAACGAGCCAACAAAATGACAGCGCCAACCAAACCAAAACCTTGGGGGAGAAAATGCCCGTACAAGTGCTCCAGAGGTGTTCTGAGATACAAGTGGCCTGATGTATCGGCACAAGGCCAGGGAATTCCGTTCGACTCACTTCATAATCACGAGCACTTTGGCAAAAACGAATCAGGAAAGGGACTTCCAGTTCTTCAATGCCATTTACCCCGAGCGAAACATTTTCTGTCAAACTAAACGCCAAGCAAAGGCAATTCGACATTTCCTGCCGGGGGCCGCCCAACAAATGCGAGTGAATTTCATCAGCGGCGGGCGACGGCATCGCCCCCACCCGCCACTTTTGGATTCAGGCCCGCATAGAGTGAGGAGCCAAGGCACACAGGGCAGCATCGCGGTCATGACGCATAACGTATAAACCAGTTACGGGCGAGTCAAGTCGTTCCCTGTGACCCGATCTCGGGCGGTGATTGCTCACTGTTGCGGAGGCAGACAGTGAAAGTCCAGAACAGAGAGAGACTCGGTTTCAAAGTTGAGTTCAAGCACAAGAAAGGTCAAAAGTCCAGAAAACGACCGGAACAAATGGCGTTCCTCCCCGCCAAAAATCAAAATGGAACGGCCCTTCATTTCTCTTTATGCCGAGGGATCGAGTCGGCATGCTTGATTTTTGCCCCTTGAACTTTGCACTTTCTTGGCCCACCTCTGCCTGACGTCGCCCTTCCGTCCTCTGGCAGGTGTTTTCCACGCTGAGCGGCGCCCTGCTGCGACAACCCTTCGTCGTGGGCGGCTCGGGCAGCACTTACGTGTACGGCTTTGTGGACACCGCGTACCGCCCCGGCATGAGCAGAGAGGAGTGCCAGCAGTTTGTCCTGAACAGTAGGTGCCTTCCTGGTGACGCCATATCTGCGACGTGTAGAACTTGACCCAAACGCGGCGCCGAGCCGTTTCGCGCCACTCCCGGCTGACCATCAAACTAAACACGAAACAACAAAAATGTCACATGTATTTCAAACAACTCCGTACTTTTGCCTAGATTCTGCTAGCTTGATGCTAACACGTACAGGGAAATGCCGTAAACAGGCTCACGAATAACACCCTCGTGGCGGCGTTGCATAACGCTTCACACGATGGACGTTTGAACACAAACGGTGCGTCAGCATACGTAGACAGACAATTTTAACAGCGTGCGTAGTCTTTAGCTTCTGCGAAGAACAATGAATATTACAGCAGTGTTCTGAGTCAACTGCGGTAGCCGTGACACTCTTTTTGTGTGTGTGTGTGTGTGTGTGTGTGTGTGTGTGTGTCTGAACGATTGTATTATACTGCCTCTGGTGGCCAAGTCATATACATCAGAGGGCATCGCAGTGGACTGATCACGATGCAGTATTATTCTTGACGTCATGCACACGTACATCCTTGACCTATTTTCACAATGTAAATAAAATCTCGTGTGCCCTTCTTCTTGAAGTAACGTGGTCGGTCGGGTCTTTTGAAAGAGGGCCTTTTCCATTCGATTCAGTCATGGCACCACTGCAACAGACGCCAAAGAACAACACAACCAAGGGGGGAAAAAAAAAAAACAATCCAGGGACTTCAAAATTAATCAGGAACCCAATCGCAACAATCGCGTTCTCTGTCTTTTTCTCAGCCCTCGCTTTGGCCATGAACCGGGATGGCTCCAGTGGAGGCGTGGCCTACCTAGTCACCATCGACCAAAGCGGTGCACAGGAGAAAGTCGTTTTGGGGAACGACTTACCCGCCTTCTTTGACAAGTGACGCATGCCGATGCAACGCAGCCTGCCTGGACCCCTTCGGTGTCTGCGACTTAACTTTGAAGTTCCCGAAGAAGACCTCGTGTGGAACAATTGAGCTTTAAATGTCTTGTATGTAAATTGCCACGTGTGCCTGCCTGTCAATATTTTTGATGTCGCCAACAGTTCAGACAGACGGGTCTTCCGTTTGAATCGATTGACTGGCTTTTTCTGGAACACAAACAACAAATTGTGGGAACGTGTCGACACCGCGGATCAAGCACAATCATGAACCCGATAGAACATGAAGGACTGTTCACGACTTCCAAACAACCCCATCTTGTGCGCTTTCTGTCACTTTGAAATCATGTCCTGTTTTGGGATGATAAAGGATGTAATTTTGTATGTTTTTTTTTTTTATTCATAAAAAAAGACATTGATCGATTATTCAAATAAAAGTTGGTGAGCAGCTGTAAAACAGGAAAGCGGAATCTATCATCTGCGCTGACAATCATATCTCCAACATATATCATGAATTTAGAAACAAATCTCCCAGTTCACTTTCCAGCAGTGGTCCTCAACCAGCGGTCAGCGGACCTGTACTGAGCCTCAGCCCATTTGAGACCGGGCCAGAGGCAAACCTGACCTGCAAACTGTGAGCGAATTGACTCCATCAAACGTGATGTGGGAAGTGTGCGCAACTCTAGTCCATGAGTCTCCCTTCAAATATCGTTTTGCAAGTTGAAATCAACAGATATCGGCCAAGAAATCAAAGAATTGGCGGTAAACAGAGTAATTGTCACAAATGGACCAAACACTACGGCTTTTTGCGCGCAGCCACGACTTCCAAAGGTGAAGCGATTTGGACAAGGGAGTTCCTCCCCTAGCCCGAAGCGACGCGGAAGAGGAAGCTGTTGCGGAAAACAAGACAACACAAGAGACCCGTTGAACCACTTGATGACTTGGGTGCGACTTGTTCAAGTGCAAAGCATGAAAAATGCAAGCAGAGTTTGCACACCCTGTCCACGGAAACATAAGCATCTCAGTGCTTTAAAAGTGGCAATTTAAAAAGCCATGAAAAAAAAAACGGTTGCCGCTCTGCGAACAACATGTATTTGTTTCAACCGGTCCGTGACACAAACAATGGTTCGGGGACCACTGCTTTACGGGGGTCTTCCAAAATCATCTCGAAACCAAAACAGAAAATGTTTAACTTGGCGAGATCTGATATCTTTTCTTCCCTGCTTTCATATTGGAGGCGTTCATGCGCCAGAAGTAAAACGAAACCGAAAGTGAACGTGAACTTGAAAGCAGCTCAGATTTGCTCCACTTTGAGGTAGTTCGACACCCGAACTGCACGTGCGTGACAATGGCGAAAAAGAGTTCGGCACTTCGCCAAGCTTTTGCTGCGTTTTGGGCGCTGGTCGCGGACGCCTGCCTGGTTGCGGCCACGGCGCGGACGCCGACGCCGGGGGCGGGGAGCTCGTTTTGGCTGTCGGTGTGGCTGTTCGCGCTTCTCCGGTGTTGCGTGGCGCTGGCCGCCGCCTTCCTGGTCAACCTCGGCGGGGAGCTCCCCGCGGCGCCGGCTCGTTTCCTCGCCTTGCACAGCGCGCTCCCCGCCCCGAGGCGGCGGGGGTCTCGCGCTGCTGGATCGTGTGCGCCGGAGCCTCGCTGAACGCTGCCTCGCTGTGGGAAGTCGGCGTGCCAGACTCCCCGAGTGGCCGGAGACAGAAGCGACAAAAGCCGCGAGTTTTGTTCATGAGGGTGCTTCGCATGCACAGGCCGGACTTGGCCCTGCAGCTCGGAGGGTTTTGCTTTCTCCCCATTGTTACACAGTTTCGCGATGAGGATAAAGGAAGGGGTCGAAATGAATGAGGGGAGGGCCGGGGGAATACTGAATCAAGGAGTGGTCCCCTTGATTTACAACGTTGCATGGGAAAATGTACTCCAAATAAAACAGAATTAAAGGAAATGTCGGGGTTGAGGGAATTTATTCTTGTGTGCGTGTCCAAGGTGGGATCCAGATCCGGTATTACACGAGCAAGGTAATTGACAACCTGCGTGAGGATTTCGGGCCAGATGACTTCTTGTCAGCACTGCTTCTCATGGGCGTGTTCTCAGTGGGAAGGTGAGAAGTATCCTGACCCCCAAAACGTCAGATGCCTGCATAATCCAGGCGCCGATGAAACATAATTACCATGTGTACGCCTAAATGCCTATAGGAATCAAAAAGATGCCCATTTTCAAGAAAAAAAAAAGTAATTCCTGTTTTCTTTCGTGGGAAGTTGGTGGTTTATTGGGGGGGGTGGGGGGGGTTTCGATGCCCATTTTGTCGGTAAACCACTTTGTAAATAAAAATAAAACGTTAATCACAAATCATTTGCAGACCCTTCTGACAACCCAAGTTCGAGAACTTCTGGTAAAGTGACCGCCCATCTTGTTTTTGTTTGCGCAGCGCGGTGGGCACCGGCAGCAGAGGGAACCAGTTCCTCATGTGGGTCAT